AGAGAGAGAGAGAGAGAGAGAGAGAGAGAGAGAGAGAGAGAGAGAGAGAGAGAGAGAGAGAGAAGGGGGGGGGGGGGATGGACAACCCATCCCCTGTGGCTGAACTGTACACACACATGTAATAACAATTGAACCGATCAGGGGTTCGAGTCCTACCTAGTAAATTTTTTTTTTTTCATTTTTTTATACCTAGTAAAATTAGATGGATATAGTGTTAGGGCGTTGGGCTTTCAAACAAAAGAAAAAAGGAAACACAGAGAGAGAGAGAGAGACAGGGGGAGAGAGAGGGAGAGAGGGGGGGAGAGAGAGAGAGAGAGAGATATGGAGAGGTACCTCGATCCTATTGCCACGTGTCACGTTCATCAGCTGCTTCCTCCTCCGCTTCCCTTTTCCTCCCCTCTCTTCCTTCTTCCAGCTCGATTTGATTCTTCTACCTCCTCATCCTCTCCCTCTCCCTCTCCCTCTCCTCCTCCTCCTCCTCCTCCTCCTCCCTCCTCCTTCATCCTCCTCCCTCCTCCTCCTCCTCCCTCCTCCTCCTTCCTCCTGCTCCTCCTCCCTCCTCCTCTTTCTCCTAACTTCCCTTCACCTCTCCTCGTCCTCCACCTTCTTTCTCCTCTATCCTTTTTTGTTTTGTTTTGTTTTTGTTTTCTTCATGCCGATGGTTTCTTCATGCTGATGGTTTCCTTCACACGCTTACTTTTCAATTATACAGCTTCATTTCCATGTATTTATTTATATGTTTCTTCGTGCTTGCTGAGCTTATTTCAAATAAACACTTTCTATCATCATTTCTCCTTTTCCTTTCTTCCCTTTTTCTCCAAGGGAGGGAGACCGACGAGACATACCTTCATCGCGATCCCGATAGCAACACTGATTCTCGGCGCCTGCCTCTTCTTTCCATTTCTCCTCCTCCTCCTCCTCCACGCCCTCCACTTCTTCCCCCCCCTCCTCCTCGTCTTCTCCCTCCTCCTCTTCCTCCTTGCTTGTTCGCTTCTTCGTTCTTCCTTCTACCGTTTCTCATATCCTGCTTCCTCTTCTTTTCCCTCCTACTACTACTACTACTACTCATCCTCCCCCTCGTTTATCCATTTCTTGTTCCTTCCTCCTACTATTTCTTCTATCCTTCCTCCTCTTCTTCTCCCCCCTCCTCCCTTTTTCCCTCCTCCTCTTTCCCGCTCCTCTTCCTCCCCCTCCCCTCGCCCTCGCCGAGCCCCGCTGGACTACGCACCGTGTAAAACAATGGCGAGTGCATCTTAACCAAGAAAGCGGACAGGTACACTCTCCTTTCTTTTTCTTTTTCTTTTTCTTTTTCGTTTTCTTTTTCGCGTTTGGCCCGCAGTGTGCGTGCGAGAACACGTGATCAACTGCTCTGGCGCGGTAACCACGTCAGAATGCACTTGGACGCCATCATTGTAAACATACTGATCGTGCACCTAGTCATTCAGCGCCGACAAGGTCCATTCTGTTCTGACTCAGAGGTGGTTTTCTTTTCCCGTTCGTTACACGTGGCTTCTTTTTCTTTTTTCCAAAGCTACAGGCGGTTTGGATATCTCTGGACATAACGGTACTGCTCCACGTTAGTATACTCGCACTTCTTCTTTTTCCGAAGTTCCCTGCACGTATCGGACCACGATCAGGGCCAGATTCCGCTGAGAGAGTCGCACAGTCTTCCCCGCCACAACGCACCGTCAACATGAATGTACCAAAGCTCATCTTTCCGGCCAGGTACGGTCGTAATCAGGTACGTTGTGCTCGGGGGAAGAATACATTACATGGTAATATAGACTCTTCTGTCAAATGTTTCATCATCTTCTTTTTTCTTCTTTTAAAAAAAAAAAAAAAAAGATCTTTCATCATCTTTCAAATTATTTCAATTCACCTTCACTACCTACCCACCACTACTCCTAAGGCATAATTATACAGGGGACCCCTGCGAACATAACTTTGTTTTTCTCCCTCCAGCCATCAGAGGGGATGCATGTTGGCACACCCCCCCCACCACCACCCCCTCCCCCCCCACACACACACAACCATGGTGGTCAAGGATGGGGTGGGGCCGCCGGTGGGGGTCCGCGGCTAACGATAAGACCAAGCATTTTGTTTGCCAGTAGCTGCGCCTCCCTTTTCATTGTCTCTCCTCCACCCCCCAACCGCATATAACAGCAGTGTCTGAAGGCCAAGACTCTCCCACACACCACAGACCACACACCACACACAACCCACTCACACAACCCACTCGCACTCACACGCGTGTTGGCCATGGACCCTGCTATTACCGATCAGAGGAATCAAGCGGACTATCACCGCTGGTTGGAACTATAACTGAGATTCTGAGAAGAGCCTGCGTCGACCTCACAACTCCGCACAACTCCCAAAAAAAAAAAAAAAAAAAACTCCGCACAACTCCTGACCGAATGCCACGTGCGTGCCTAACGATCTAACGATGCTCTCGATTCCTCTGCCTCTCTGTTCGAACTGACGCTGCTGCAGCGAGGCCGAAGCTCCGTTTCGGACCGTGGTTCTCCGCTTGGGAACTTTGGGACCGTAGTTTAGATGTTTCTTTCTTGGGAAAATTGCAGCTGTAACCCACTATACCAAGTCCCAGCGCCCACTTGCATCTATACCCGGGAAACAACCCGTGGATATTATTTGCATACCCAGGATCTAGGTTGGTAACGCACAACTGCGGCTATAACCAGCTACTGGAATGCACATATTACACCCGCGTAAAATTGTGGGCGGACCGGCCAATTCAAAAAAAAAAAAAAATCCCCCCTCAAAATTCGAATTGCATTCAATATAGAGAGATAGGCCACGTTGACCTTTGTAGGTGCACCCTCGAAGTTCGGCGAACTTGGACCGCTAGCGCTGCACGGCGAACAGAGCGGCAGGCCCGCCGGATACCACAGCGACGAGCGGCAGCCCTTGGTGCTGGACTGGTATGGGAGGACTACCCCTTGGGCACCCGTCTCTGTCCCTGCCCCGTCGAAGGAGCAGCGACCATAACTGGCCATGGACAGAGGGGCGCGAGCAGCCGGTGACACAAGGAAGAGAGAGCGACGACGCAGCTTCGAAGCGGAAACAACACCGACCAAGAGAGGGTAACAGAGAAACGGAAGATGCAGCGAAAAAACAGCGGTGAGAACGAAGGGAGGAAGGTGACCGGGTAGGATGAAGAGTAAAATAGGAGAAAATGGGACGACCATGGAAGGAGGAAAAGAAGGATAGGAGGATGGCTCAAGCGTACCAGGGGTAAGAAGGAAAAACGAACAAAGGAAGGATAGAAACGGAAAGAGGCGGAAGAGGAGAGTAAGTATCGAAAACAGAAAGGAGGACAGCGTGAGAAGAAGGAAGGGAAGGACGGGTGGCTGCCAGCAGATGTGAAGACATACCAGGCCTCTTGGTGACCTCCTCGGCCAGAGCGAAGCGCCTTACGAGGCGCGAAGGGAAAAGACGCAAGCACCATAAAGGAGGGTGAAGTTCAGTATGAGAAGAATCTGATCTTAAGAAAAGCAAAAGGGACTCATCATCGGCAAGCTTGGAAGCAATACAACTATTGAGGAGGAGGGGACGACATCTAACAAAGGTTACTCTGGGTTCTGACCCCCGTACCTTTGGGGCCCCGGGGGAACTCCCCCGGTGAAGGAAGGGGAACAGCCTGGAGGTAAGTGATAGAAGATAGATCCCCCCCTTTCCCTCTTCCGCTACCTCAGTCGAGCCTGATCCCGATCCTTTCCCCTGATACGCCTCCCCTACACCATCCTCTCCTTTGCTACCTTTGTTGAGTCTGATCTCGATCTTTCCCCTTGACACCCCTTTCCTCTTCCATACTTCTTCCCGTACACTGCCGCCCGTCCAGATTCCGATCTCCCTCCATCTCCCCCCCGTACGCTATCCCCGGCCTAGGCCATCCATACACCGCCTCCCGCCCTCTACCTCCCCCCTTTGCTATCTCGCCACTGATTCCTATTCCTGTCATCCTCTCCCGCCCAGACCCCCCTTGACTCCACGCTATTCGACCCGGACTATCCTGCCCCTCCATACCAGACTCTCCCCAGACTCCACGTTAT